GAGGGGCAGAGAGAGAAGGACACAGAATCTGAAACAGGTTCCAGGCTCTGAGAGGTCAGCACAGAGCCCGACGCGGGGCTCGAACGCACAAACCGTGAGATCATGACCTGAGCCGAAGTCGGACGCTTAACCGACTGAGCCACGCAGGCGCCCCATGGCATGTCTCGATGCAGTAACTGTGTCTCTCCCTTGGAGGTCACCTTGTTCATTCTAAGGTGTCGGCTTTGCCTGGCCCACGGGTCAGGGTTTGGGGGATACACCAGTGTCGCCGCTGCTGGGCGAAGGGGGAGGAAGCTGGTGGGAGTCCCCCTCGACTTCACCTCTCTCCCCCTGCTCCCTCCAGGAGTGGCCGGGCCGACCTGGCAGCCATCTATTATGAGCGCATCGATGTGGAAGGCCACCACTACGGCCCCTCCTCACCGCAGAGGAAAGACGCCCTGAAGGCCGTAGACAGCATCCTGAGGCACATGACCAAGTGGATCCAGGTAAGCCCGAACCGGGCCCACTAGGCCAGTCTTCCCTCTCGTCACTTTCTTTCTGTTTGCTTGGCTGTCATAGCGCTCAGCATCTTCCTTCTTACTGTCATTAGCTGGCGAGGCCGGCACAAGGCTGCGACGGGTCTCTTTTCTTCACACGACCCCTCTTCAGACACCAAGAGATCCCTTGTTTCGCTGCCAGGCCCGCAGGACTGGAACGACCAGATCTGCATTATTACCTGGAGCCGGCGAGATGGCCCAGTCCTTTATCAGACCTAACAGGCCTGGTAACCGGGTTCAAGTGGGCATGGAAAACAGACCTGGGTTCTGTCCCTGATTCTGCCACCCCCTTGCTGGATGACTTTAAGCAAGGTATTATTTGTTAAAACCTTCTGAGCTTTATTTTCCACATTTGTAAAAATGGGTAAGTGACAGTCCCCACAGTACCACACAAGCTTGTTGAAAGAGCCAAAAGGAAATGAAAACAGAAAAGGTACCTGGAGAGGCAAAAGCCCAGTAGGAGTGGGGAGCGTGCTCTCACAGTCCCCCTCCTCAAAGTGCTTCTGTGGTGATTCTGAACTGCCCTCGTCAGGGCAGAAAAGTACACGATTCAGTTTACAACTGAGGACCTCTCCTTTCCCCTGTAACTTACAGTTTAAAACACTTCTTTAGGGGCCGCCTGGGTGGCTCAGTCGGTTAAGCATCTGACTCTGGATCTCCTATCAGGTCTGGATCTCAGGTTCATGGGCTCATGGGATCGAAACCCCGTGTCAGGCTC